CGAATATCCTAAATCGTTGTGTACCATTGGGAGGGGGGTTTTCTTTCTTTTTGTACTTTTTCCGTTTTTTCAGTTTGTGTAACTCTATTTTTGTCTAAAAACGGTTTAGATATTTTAAAGAGGAAAAAAGGAAAAAAAGACTCCCGTGCCAGTTAGTCAGAAAGCAAGCAAGTCAGCAAAATCATCTTGGGTAGTTGATCAATACCAATCAATTAAACTGCTTTACTTTTCTTTCTCTGACTTTGCATCTCCAAAAACATGACATCATCCTCATCTTGCTACTTCCTTTTCAGAGCAGATATTTAAAAATAATAATGGTACGCGTTTAATTTGTTCAATTGATCAATTAAATACCAATTCCTATAGAGAATCTAGTTTTCTTTAAATAATGCTTGGTATTGTATAAAGTAAAACGTTTCTGTTATTCTTCCCTCCCCGCTCTTGGCAATTCATAAAAACACAGTGTACTTTAAAATTCATCTACTTTTTTTCTATTTCTTATTTTGCCAATGAAGTTGATTTTAAAAACAAAAAACCTAAATAGCTTTCTTCTTTTAGAAATAAATATATATTACTTTGCCTCTGTTTTTTTTTTAAGAGTTGTAGTTAAGATATGATGACTCAGCTAGTTGTTTTTTCTTTATTCTTTTTTCTCTCTTTAAGATGTTTTTCTTCAACCATAGAGGCTTTAGGGTCAACTTATCTTTCTTTTTACAGAATAAAGGATAAATAATAAGTGATAAAACGGTACTGGGGTGGGTTTACCAAAAATTATAGGCTAGTTTATTTATTTAGAAGCTTCTGGAATACAAAGGTTTAGAAACAACATTCTCTATTTAAAAAAGGAGAGTGAGAGGAGTATATTTCCTTGAAATAAGAGTGTGGAAGCAACTTGAACATTGGTATCAATATTATTACCCAAGCGATAATAATATACACTAGACTTGTATCAAAAATAATACCTTTTAGAAAAGTAAATTACTACACAAACAGAGAGTAGGACCAAGCACATAACATTCATCTATCTACAAACAAATTAAATATTCGATTCTAAAGCAGTTCTGAACTGAATAACTGTACCTCTCTCTCTCTCATTCATCAATATCAATTATAGAAACACGTTGGTTTGGTTTTTTTTTCTTTTGTAATCTAGGCTTGAGATTTGCATACTCATCATCAATATAGTACTAATAAATATCAAATCAGTTAAAATTATGAAACTAAAATAAAAATTCTTTTTTTAGTTTTATTTCTAGAAGGTTCGTTTTCCTTTTCTTTAAAAAAAAAAAAAGAATATAAAATTACTAACATTACAAATTTCTTTAAATTATTTTTTCTTTAGATATTTTGAAAAGATTAAACAAAGCAATATTCCTTTTCCTTTTCCTTTAAAATGGGGGAAATGATGATTATATTGTGCACAATGTGTTCCTGAAACTTTAGATGAGATGTACACTTGAAAATAACTGATTCAATAATCACTTTTTTCGCTTTTTTTTTTAGTATCCAACAAGATCAACAGTTTTCTCGTCTATTTTAGAAAGGAGTAAGCATGATAAATAGAAAGAAATCACCGGAAAAAATGCGATATCAAAGTTTCACAAGGCACCATTGTTTCTTTTTTATATAT